TAATTTTTGAAAACCCTTTTAAGGAAAGGTAAATACTTAACCTCCTAGAATTAACCTCCATGCTTTCTTAGGTGATTTCACAAAGAATTGGACAGAATCCTGTGGATTTAAAACACCCTGTAGTTGGGAGGTACTGTCTTGGTGAAATTACCACTAAAAAATGCCATCAACTGATGAAATGCAGTGTATCCATGCAATGGAATATTATTCAGCTATAAAAAGGAAACCATGGATGAATTAAGTGACAGAAATGAGTGACAAAAGACTGTATTGAATATACATATTTTATGATTTCTTTCTTAAGAAATGAAAGAAATTTCATATGAAAGAAAGAACAGGCAAATCCACAGATATAGAAAGCAGATTAGTGGCTGCCTAGGACTCAGGGAGGGGAACAAGGGATGGCAGCTGATGGGTACCAGGTTCCTTTATGAGATGATGAAAAAGCTCTGAAATTAGCTGTGGTGATAGTTGCACAACTCCGTGAAAATACTAAAAAAAAAAAAAAAATTTGATTTCACACTTTAATGAGCAAATTGTACGCTATGTAAAATATATCTTGATAAAGTAAAGCTGTTACCAAAAAAAATCCACCTTAACTGTCCTTGAAAATACAGAATTCTATTTAAAACACTTGGCGATAGCAACTTTATTATCAGAGCAAAAGAGTCTTCATTCAGGAAAAGCAGAATTTTTTTTTCTTTTTTTTTTTTTTTTTTTTACTGTGTCAGCATTTTCTTGGTACCCTTGGCTTCATTACAAAAATAATTTGCAGGCTCAAAAGACAAATGTTGTCTAAACTAAAAATCCTGGAATCTGTTTTCATAAATCATGCTATCTTACTATGTTGGCAATATGGTCCACCTGCTTCATGGAAAATGTTCACTAATTCAACATCCTGGAGTAAACACAAAAAGCTTCCCCTTGGTTTGTGCTGTTGACTCTGCTGGGAATTTCCTCCTCACTCTCTTTCCTGGCCCAAATCTACGCATAACCTCAGAATCCCTTCCTTGAGACAGCCCTCAGAACCCTTCCTCCCAGGTCCTTTCCAGGCAAATTTTTTTGGGGGGGGAGTACGCTCTTGTATTGATGTCACTGTCCCTCTCACGTTGCCATTTTGCCATTACTATTTACTTGTTTAGCTCCCTCTTCACAAAACCAAGAGCACCCTGCAGGCAGGGATCAGGTCTTACTTGAAAATCTCAATGCCTGACACATAGAGGAGGGGGCCTCCAGGTAGCACTGGCTGGCTTTGGAAGCAGTGGCAACACATTCACCTTTAAAAGCGTCTCAGCTGGAAGAACTGCAAATATCAGTGAGGGAAAAGATTGAAGTTAAATTTACAACTTCTAAGAAAACATGAGAGCTAATGAGAAGCACGCCAGCATATCTTTTTTATAAGGTCAACTAAGTCACACCCCCTTATTCAGCACGCTGCTCTTCTCTTGCAGTTAGCTGCATAGAAATTTTATTATCGTAGCATAAAGCACAACTGCCACTTAACAGCACAGAAAGAATCAACAGTCCCTGCCCTCATGGCACATCTGCCTCAATCACATTCCTTCAGATGATGGACAAGTGTCCAAGAGACCTACCAAGAACTATGTGGTTGATGTTAATGACCAACTACAACAAAATGGGCAGCCCCGGGCAGTGGTGAGAATGTGGACTTAAATGCTTTTTTTTTTTTTTTGGTAGCACTGGCTGGCTTCTTTGGAAGCAGTGGCAACATTCACCTTAAAAGCGCCTCTCAGCTGGAAGAACTGCAAATATCAGTGAGGGAAAAGATTGAAGTTAAATTTACAACTTCTAAGAAAACATGAGAGCTAATGAGAAGCACGCCAGCATATCTTTTTTATAAGGTCAACTAAGTCACACCCCCTTATTCAGCACGCTGCTCTTCTCTTGCAGTTAGCTGCATAGAAATTCTGTTATCGTAGCATAAAGCACAACTGCCACTTAACACAGAAAGAATCAACAGTCCTCACTCTCATGGCACATCTGCCTCAATCACATTCCTTCAGATGATGGACAAGTGTCCAAGAGACCTACCAAGAACTATGTGGTTACGTTAATGACCAACTACACAAAATGGGCAGCCTCGGGCAGTGTGAGAATGGGACTTAAATGCTTTTTTTTTTTTTTAAAGTAAAACATTTATTTATCTTCCTTCCTTTTTTTTTTTTAAATTATACTTTAAGTTCTAGGGTACATGTGCACAACATGCAGGTTTGTTACATATGTATACTTGTGCCATGTTGGTGTGCTGCACCCATTAACTCGTCATTTACATTAGGTATATCTCCTAATGCTATTCCTCCCCCCGTCCCCTCCCCACAATAGGACCCGGTGTGTGATGTTCCCCTTCCAGAGTCCAAGTGATCTCATTGTTCAGTTCCCACCTATGAGTGAGAACATGCGGTGTCTGGTTTTCTATTCTTGCGATAGTTTGCTGAGAATGATGGTTTCCAGCTGCATCCATGTCCCTACAAAGGACACGAACTCATCCTTTTTTATGGCTGCATAGTATTCCATGGTGTATATGTGCCACATTTTCTTAATCCAGTCTGTCACTGATGGACACCTGGGTTGATTCCAAGTCTTTGCTATTGTGAATAGTGCCACGATAAACATACGTGTGCATGTGTCTTTATAGCAGCATGATTTATAATCCTTTGGGTATATACCCAGTAACAGTATGGCGATTCCTCAAGGATCTAGAATTAACTTCTAGTCTCTGTCCCTTACCAATGGCACAGCCATGAACAAATTACCAAACGACTCTGTAATGCCAGGCCCCTAATCTGCCCAGTGGAGGAAATACTCCAACTCCTAGAAGTAATATGAGAATTAAGATCACACAAGGAGCTGACCCACAGGATAAAGACAGCAGCTGTTCCTTCCCTTTCCCCCAACATGTATTTCCCCAGATGCCATCCTACATATTCACACTGAAGAGATGAGCCTCTCAGTAGGAAGATTCGTAACCACATAAAGTTGAAAAGAGAAACCTCTTTAAATGCTGGTTTATTAAGAAGAATGAAGGCAGATGAGACTGGGGCCAAAGATCTCTGCACACCTTCCTGACACTCCCCCGCTGATCATGAGGTCCAGGGATGTGGCCAGGAGGCCGGGCATCAGCAGCTGGGGGAAGAAAATCTCTGGGCTGAACTGTGGGTCCCTCACAACAGGCAGGCAAGATTTGGGTGTGGAAGAATACATACAGTCCCAGGTGGTAAAGCTCACTTACAACTTCCTTTTTCTTGTCATTCTTTCAGCCTATGTTTCAAAATCTCTAAATCCAGAGCAGCAAGTTCCAAAAGCAGAAGTAGAATCAATGATGGTAACAGTCCAGGACACACAATGCTTGCTCCATGCCAGGCACTGTTCTGAGACATTTGCATCTATTCTCTCACTTCATCCTCACCCAAGGATGGGTAAACTGAGGCAAACAGGTCACATGACTTATCCCAAGGCTAAAAACGTGATAAACGGGGGAGCCAGGGTGAAAACTCAGCAGTCTGCTTCCTAGTCTTTATTGCCATATTCAAAGGCTTCTCCCAAGAACTTGTTCTCGTACTGGCTTCAGTCCCTCCTGACTTCATATGAGTTTCCAGCAAAATCACTTTACTGAATTCTGCCACCTCACTTTTCCTGGGCATAATAGTGTACTGGAAGCAGTATCTACGTAACAGCAGTTCCATGAGGAATTACAAACAACGTGCCTTCACATGCTACTCAAAGAGAGAGAGAGAGAGAGAAAGAAAAGGAAGGAGAGAGGATGTGTACTGAGAAGTGCCGAGTGACATGCAATAGCGGGTACACAGTCAACTGCATGACAAGCACGGTGCCAACTTCTTTAGAGTGCCATACATATGTGTGTGTGTGTGTGTGTGTGTGCATATAAGTGTATGTGTGTAGGTGTGTATAAGCACGTGTATAAATACATGTATATACACATCTGTGTATGTGTGTGTATATGCATATGTGTGTGGATGTATATAAAATAGATATTTTAAAAATACGTATCTTATACAGAAGGCTATTTCATACAGGTCTCAGGAAAGACAAGCGACTTGCCCAAGGCCACAGGGCCTGTGAGAGTGCTGGAGACAGTGTTTGAATCCAGGTGTCCAACCCCAAAGCCCATGCTCTGACCTACTCACCACACCCAAACACCCCGACTTGACCCTTAGTGACAAACTGCTATGATTTGTATGCCAGGAAACCATGGTAGCATATCAAATTTCTGAAGCTTCACTTTTTGCTGTCTGTAGCATAAAAAGGCATTCAATTAAAACAGAACCACACCTGGGGCCAGATGTGCTTCCTTTATAACTTTGAGAAGTCTCAAATCACTCTCAGGCGTCAGCCTCTTGAGTTAGATTAGAATTTGCAAAAATAAACATTCATTCATTGTGTTACGAGATCCTCCACCAAAGACCTAAAGAAATTTACCTTCGTGAATATTAACAGCATCTTGAATTAACATATCACTTTTTAAAAATAAGTGCTTCAAAGACATTCTCTCCCAGAGATTAAAATGACACAAAACTGTGACAATAGTGGTCATCAACATCTACTATGAACCAAATATTGTTCTCATCACTGTACAGCATTATCTAATTCAACCTCTCAACCACATTCAGTAGTAGCTATTACTGTTATCTCTGCTATTAATTATTCCTTAAAATGTCATTTAAGAAATTCTGACTTGACTTCTACTCTATAGCTATTTCTTCTGTAGACTTTATCTGATGCTACAAAAATTGGCACAGGAAACAATTTGTTCCATCTAATCTCTTTTTTCAACATAGTAGAGACTCTTGCTGTTAAAAAGGAACCTGGGAAGCCTCTGTCACGCGCACAGCTGTGTAAGGAGAAGGACCTCTCTGTTTTCAGGGCTGACCTATAGCGGGGACACCTACATATATGCATAAACTTGAGAAAGCAATGAGCACCCAGGGGAGACGGGGCTGCCGCTTGGGCTTGCTACTTACCAGCGCTGTGTGAACTTTAAGATGTGCCTGTAGCTTATATTTATCTGGAGTCGAGTAGTCACAGCCGTCAGTGGGACACTTCAGCAAGATGTTACTGTGTTTCTGAATTACGTGGCGTTTAAGGCAGTTTTTGGTGATGGAAGAATAATGACACTGGGAGCAATAATACAGATGTTCCCGGGTGTGGGTGCGGACATGCATATCAAAATGCACTTGGTACCAAAAAAGTTTGCCTAAAAAAATATTTTCACATGAGAACAAGGAAGTTTTTTTTTGACTGATTTTGAATTTTTTTAATTATTATTATTTTTTATCTACCATATTTATCTCCCTCTTGCACTTGTCCGGGTCGCCCTTCATACTTTTCACCACATTTCTGCCTGAAAATTACTTTTCAAAGGTGGGAGGTTGCAAATATTAAGGGTGCTACTATTTTTTGTATGACGTCAGGGCCAGCAGAGGAGGAAGTCAGTGTTTACTGAGAACCAGTTATGGCGCCAAATACCATGATGCACATGCATAAATCTGCTAGTCTCTAAGTTCTACTGGCCCTCCTGGGACAGCAGGTCTGGAGCTGGATTTTCGATATCCTGCACCGCCAGCTCCCCAGGAGTTCCAGGAGCCATGCTTTCATTGTGAGTTGCAGGGTGCTATTTGGGACCTCCCTAAATGGCTGCAGCCACTTTTGTAACTTTTGTAACCTCTCTTGGCCGATCTAGTAGTTGGCCACAATTTAAAGCTCAACTTTAAACTTGTCATGTGCCAGAAGAAAGATTCTTCTTAGTTAGAGTTCTGGTAGAGGTCATGGGTAACCCTCAGCACACACACCTGACCAGGTCAACACGGTCAACTGTGCGACCATCCTGGCCGCCTCCATAAGACTCCAAGCGCTAACTGCCACACAGCGGTCACCGTTCCTATCTACAATGGAGGAGGGTGGCTCACTTAGAAGGTGTTCTTTGCAAACAGATGTGAGCTCAAATCAAATGCGAGGTGACCACAGCGTGATGGGAGTGGACAGGGCCGCGCACCGGCGCTGCCTTTCCTTACCACAGTATTCACACTCCAGGTCTCCATAAACCTTCCGGATCCGCTCGCACAAGCTGGTGCTCATTTGCTTCTTCTGTAAACTGTTCAGGACCTTCATGAATGCAGTGATGCCTGACCGGTGCTCAGGGGCAGCTTTGCAAGAGTCAGGCTGATGTGTGATGGTGTCCCTACCACCAGCTACTGGAGGGAGGAGGTCTGAGGCCTCAGCTGGGTTTGACTTGAGACAACTGCTGGGGTCTGAGTCACCAGCTGAAAGTGCAGCCATGTTCTGCCCTTCCCCTGGGGAGCTCTGGGCGCCCTGGCTCTCCTGGTCTGACCCAGTGCTCTGGGCCTTGGACAGCAGTAGTGTGATCACTTCACCTTGCGTCTGGACTGAGCTTGTGTGCTGCGTGTCTGGGGGCTTCTCAGGAGCAGCATGAGCCTCCGTGGAGGAGCTATCATTTTTCAACAAAAAATCATCTGAAACCACCTCTTGAGAATGCAGGTCTGAGGAGGAGACCACGGTAGTTTCCAGCTCACAGGGTGGCAGGGCTGTGCTTTCAGCCTGCGGGCAGGCGAGGTGAACGGTTGGGGCAGGCACTTCCCCAGGGGCCTCCGGCTCCTTCCGGTCCTCCTCCAGCTGAGTGTCCCCAGAACAGGCCTCTTCCTTGAGTGCATTCATGCCCTGGAGGGCAAACTCCTCTTCCACCAGCTGCAGCTGGTCCCCCAGAGCTTCTTGCTGGATGTCCCCACCAGGCTCCAGGAGGCAGAAGCTCTGGTTGATGGAACTGGTGAAGACCAAGGCCTCTTGGGCAGCCCCGTGCACCTCTTTGATGTGGGAGCGCAGCCTGATGGAGCTGACGAACTTCTTGCGGCAGACGGCACAGACATACACAAAGGGGTGCTTCCTGACATGCAGTTCCAGCGCCTGGTACTTGGTGGCCCCATGGCCACAGAGCTCACAGGCAAAAGGCCACTTGTCTCCGTGGACCAGCATGTGGCGGTCGCGGTCCAGCTCATTCTTAAACTTGCGCTCACAGATGTGGCAGTCATAGAGCAGCTGCCGCTTGCCCTCCCTCGTCATCAGGCAGAGCTCGTCCAAGGCCTCCTTGACCTTCTTGTCCTGCGGGTCATGTGCATCTCGGATGTGCTTGATGAGGTTCTTGACGTCAGAGTACTTCTTCTTGCAGAAGCGGCAGTGCTGCTTGATTTTCTTGTGCACCCGCTCAATGTGCACCTTGAGGTGGCCCTTGCTCAGGCAGGTGAACGAGCAATAGTCGCAGGCGAACTTCTCGCCGGTGTGCTTGCGCAGGTGCACGTTGAGGTTGGCCTTGATGGCACTGGCGTAGCTGCACTGGGGGCACTTGTATGGCTTTTCATTGGTGTGGATCCTCAGGTGGGCCTGCAGCGAGTGCTTGAACTTGAAGACCTTGTTGCAGTATTCACAAGTGAAGATTTTGAGCTGAGTGGGACCTAGCCTAGAAACAGATGACAGCATGGTTACATCTGGAGACCTTGAATGTTCCTCATGAACTCTACATCCTTGTTATGAACCAAACACTGAAGGCTGAAAAGTGAACGAAACTGGACAGACACTGGATGGGTGCATTCATTCACTCAACAAACAGGATCAGAGGGCTCATGTGGGCTATGGTCCTTCAGGAGCTCACAGTCTTGTGGGAGGGAGGACAGGTTGGCAAATGTTTGCATGACAGCGTGGTATGTATTAATAGGAATACACACACGGCAAAAAAGGAAAAAGACCTCTAACCTGGATTAGGGTAGCTGAGAAAACTTGAGGAAGAGATGTCTGTCTGGACTGGGGCTTCAAGAAAAGGAAAGAGGGAAGCAAAAGAAGGAAGATGGAAGCGGAAGGACAGGTGTGCCGTCTACTACATGCACAATAATAATCAGCTGTGTTCCAAGCAGACCGAGGTGGTTCTGCGATATTTTAACAGGACTAGTCTTAATGGAATGAATTCAGCCTGCTGCATAAGACTGGATGCAACCATCTTTTCAATAGTTTGGTAAAGCCAGACTTGCCTATTCATTCAACCAACTGTTGGGGGTGACTCTTTTCCTTTCTGCAAGTTTCCATGTGAGGGCCACCCATTAGTGAAAGACCCCTGGTGTTTCTCCACATCCTTACTTCTTCTCAAGAAAAGAGGACCCATGTGTTTGATTGGTGACTTCAGAGCAGGACCTAAGTCACGAGCTGAGCTCTGCCTATTTCTGGTGAGGATGTGCCTGACTGGGGTGAGCATGGGATACGGCGGGCACTTAGCCAGCTGGGCCTCTGTGAGCCTGGCCAGAGCGATTCAGGACTGCGAGTGGGAGAGAAAGTCTGTCTCATTCTGCAGGCAGTAACAGGAGGCTCCTGCTGACTTGTACCACACTGTTCTCCTCCACATCTCCGTCAGTCATAGAGCTGGCGTGTGGCTCTCCATCTTCCTCCTCCTCTATCATGGTTGGTTTAGAACTCAGATGGGGAAAATAGGGTTGCTGTTTATTAACTTCATATTCCATTTATTCATAAATGGTCACTATTTGTTAACACCTGCCAATGTGTTTCAGATACTGTGTCAGATTTTATGCATGTGGTAAAGAATAAAAGCATGGTCCACCTGCCTCATGAATTCTCTCTCTTTCAATACAGCAATGTGTGTGCTGAATGAGATGGTAACAATAACAGCTAATAATTATTGAGTATGTGCAGTATGATAAGCTCTATGCTAAGTATTTAATCCCATCTGTATTGTTATACTCATTTTACAGATGAGAAAACTGAGTATTTGCCCCATGTTGTACAATTGGTAAGTGGTGAAGCCAGGACTTGAATCTAGGAAGACGCCGACTCTAGAGCCTACACGTGCATGCTCATCCTCTCTACTGCCTGAAATCACTGACACGCAGCGACCCTGCCCCAGAGTGACTGTACTGCAAAGAAGGCTCCCTGTGAGGGGTTTCCATTGCTGTTGGAATGGCTAAGCCTTGTTTCTGAAACCAGCAAATGGCAATCACCAAAGTACCACAATAGGAACCAGGGACAGGCACTGACAGATGAGTCTAAGGAGGCAAGTGAGGCTTCTTCTCCAGCTGTAACTGCTTTCTCTGGACAATGTGTCCAGGTTATCCAAAAAGGACCTCAAATGTACTAATAATCATGTAGTGCTATTAACAAGGTATCATTCAACTGAACCCACTCTCACTGTAAAGTCTACAGTTATAAAACTATCCAAACAACTGTGTCTGATCAACACAGGTGGCCTTGTCTTTAAATTTAAAATATTTAAATGGATTGCAGTCCATAAATACCAGAGGATACAATTCACATGATGTAATTATAATATTTAAATTTGGAAGTTACTAGTATGCCTGCATGCTAAGCCCAAGGCTAATTTAAGGAAAGTAATTTGGATCTTTCTCAAACGACAAAGATATCCAGAAGGTGATACATATTATTGGCACAAAGCATGCCAAAGAAAGAAACCCTGGATTCATAACATTAATTAAATAAATAAATCAAGACTTTACATATTTTCTCTTCTACTGCAAGATCTAAATGGTCAGGAGAATCTTTTGCTCTAATTTTTTGTATTATTAGGCAAATACCTGGTAAGGCCCTTAATGCTCGGGTTCCCCTCGAGGATAGTGAATCTGATGAGGATGCTACACAGCCTCCATCTGACTCTTAAATCCAAATCATTGACTGTGACAGTGAACCGATGCCAGAGCTTCAATGTCCATGCGAGTTCTATGAAGTCGCTTTACTCCAAATGCCGCCTCCTCAGAGAGGTACTCTCACCACTGCTTTTACAAAGATATCCAGCAGAACTTTAAAAGGTCATGCTCCTTAATTCAGTTATTCCACTTCTGGGAATTTATCCAAAAGAAAGAATACAAATTTCAGATGATGGTGCTCATGGCTCATTTTCCACAATAGTTAAGAATGGGAAGCTGTTCGAAGGTACTAACATAGGGAACTAATTTGTTTGCATGTTTATCTTTCTTCATTTATTCATTCCCTTAAAAAAGTGTTCCAGGTACTCAGGATACAAAGGGGAATGAAAACAAGCACAGCCCTGCTCTCTGGAGCTCACCTTCCAGAAAGTGCCATAGGCCAGCCTACATAATAAATATAAAAGTTAGCAGACAAGGACCATCAGACTCCCTGGGAGAAGGATAAGGGCCGGACACTCTGAGAATCCAGTCAGGGTAGATTGACTTGGTCTAGGGACAGGGAAAGCCTCCCTGAAGATAAGACATTTGAGCAGAAAGCTGAAGGACAGATAAGCATTAACTAAGAAAAAGGGAGGAAAGGCATCCAGGAAGAGGAACGGGTGCCTGCAAGAAGAGACTAAGGAAGTGAAAAGAGGCCCAAATGGCTGGAGTAGACGGCAGGAGCAAGAGTACTGGGGAACCACAGCAGGTGGACAAGGCTCAGAGGTGGCAGGGCCAGTCTTGGAAGCCCCCTGTACCCCTAAGAGCAAGGCAAAGCCCAAAAGGGTAACCATCAGATGAGCATTTTTAAAAGATCTCGTTGGCTCCACTGTCAACAGTTGAGCTGATTACACTATATCCTTATGAAGTTATGCCTTGTTGCTATAAAGCAAAATGTTTATGATTAATTTGAGTAACAAACGCATATAAATGTAATGTGATTAAGTTTCTAAAAGTGACAGACGGGCACAGTGGATCACGCCTGTGATCCCAGCATTTTGGGAGGCCAAGGCAGGTGGCTAACTTGAGGTCAAGAGTTCAAGACTAGCCTGGCCAACATAGTGAAACCCCATCTCTACTGAAAATCAAAAAAAAAAAAAAAAAAAAAAAAAACTGGCCATGGTGGTGCATACCTGTATTCCCAGCTACTCAGGAGGCTGAGGCAAGAGAATAGCTTGAACCTGGGAGACAGAGGCTGCAGTGAGCCAAGATTGTGCCACTGCACTCCAGCCTTGGTAACAGAGTAAGACTCTGTCTCAGAAAACAAAAACAAAACAAACAAAAAAAAACTTTTAAAAAGTGAGATACAAAATCGCATATAAAATATAAACTCAACTTTATAAAATGTACATGCTGAAAAAAAGGCTGGGAAGAAACACATTTAAAATAATAAGTGGTTATCTTTGGGTAATAAAATCATAAATGACTTTTTTCCCTCAGTTTTCTGAACTTCCAAAATTTGTTATATAATAACTCTGTATCATTTATTATGAGGGAAGAATTATATAACCTAAAAGTTTTTAATCTGTATTTTACCAAGTAAAATCCTTATGCAAAAACATCTCTTTCATAGTTATCTTATAATTTGCACAATAAAATATTAATAGAATGCATGACAACAAAAATATAGCCTAGATCTGTTGATTAAATATTCAGCGTATTTACCTGTAACTAGATTAACATTTAGCTGAACCCCTCCCCAACAGACCTAACACGGTGAAACCCCGTCTCTACTAAAAAAAATACAAAAAACTAGCCGGGCGAGGTGGCGGGCGCCTGTAGTCCCAGCTACTCCGGAGGCTGAGGCAGGAGAATGGCGTGAACCCGGGAGGCGGAGCTTGCAGTGAGCTGAGATCCGGCCACTGCAGTCCAGCCCGGGCTACAGAGCAAGACTCCGTCTCAAAAAAAAAAAAAAAAAAAAAAGAAATATTGTGAAGATAATTAATTAAGGCTACAAATCAACCTGACTTGAAACACAGAATGATTTTAGAGACTTAATAATTTTACGAATTCACCAAAGGAATGAATGTTTTTACAACTTCATCAATAAATTCAGTTGTTCACATTTACAAGAACAGAGGACTGAGGCTACAAATTAATGAAGCATCCCACATGATATAATAATATAATTTAATGAGAGCACTACATGTGCCAGGCACTTTGTATATTTTATCTCTTATTCTCACTACTAAACTAAAATTCTATTAGACAGTCTTAAAATTGGGCAACAAATGTTAGATGCAAAGTAACGTGTGTCAAGTTACAATGGAGTATAAGCTTCATGAGGGCAGGGGCTGCATCTGTCTGATTCTAGTGCCCAGCACGTAAGAGGTGCTCAATTTGCTGAGCTGAACTTATACAGAATAGTCTAGAGCCAACCTAGGTCTATTTCATTTTAAAGTTTATGTTCTACTCAAAAACACCCCACTTCTCTTCTTCCAGAAACAGAGGAAAACCACTGGCAACAGGCATTTTCTTTGTCTTTCCTTCTAGTTGGGAGAAATGTTTTCAGACCTCTGGGAATCAGAGTTTGTTAACTGACTTCAGAAGGTACAGGCTAAAGACAGACAACTTGGGGAGAGTGTAGAGAAACACACTGGTTTGCTATGGGTGGTCAACGGATCCAGTGTATCTGGAAGACAGTTTTTAATGTCAATTAAGCACTAGGCACTCATATCCTTTGCTGCAGCAGTTTCAACTCTAGCAATTGATTCCACAGGAAGTCTTGAAGTATGGAAAGATGTATGCAGCAAAACGTTAATCATTGCATTGTCCGTAATAGTAAAAACTGGCCATATAAACTAAAATACATCCATATAACAGCAAACACAGCTTTTTAAACTGTGTACTAAAAATCAAAGACTTTCAGGGTATAGTAAGCTTTTTTTAAAAGTTTTAAACAGTACTTTTGGTATTTAGTATTTGCAAAAAGCAACAAAATTAAACCAATATATGTTAGTATATTTTGAAAAACTTATAGAAGCACATGAACTAAACTACCACTAGAAAGAGTAACTCTAGGTTACTTTAACGCCACATTATATGGGATATGTGAGCCTTCTGCAACACACTTGTGTTACTTTTGAAAGTGGGAAGGAAATAAAGATTTTTCTAAATTGTAACATGTGAAGCTATAAATATCTAAAACTTTACTAAAGCTATGTTTCTATTTCTTTTTATTAAGGTAAAAAATAGGTTTGCTTTAAATAAAATGCTCTGGCTTAAGCCAATTGGTGCTCAGTTCTAAAAGCATGCTACTCTGTAACACACTGGAGGCTCGGCCAGCACACTGAGGGCTGCAACGCAGGGGTAATTCTACCGCTGAATCAAAGAGTCAGTACCTTTTATAAACAAGTTTGTAAGCAGATCCAAATGAACAAGCATGCTGATCCTTCCTGCACTCTGTGGAGTTCACTCACTTCCAACCTCTGGCTAAAGTTACAGAACAAAACACTTTACCTGCTTGACTTCATTGGTTGCTCATAAGGTGTCTGCTGAATGGCGTATTCCTGGTAGCCTCTCCGAGGCACCAGGTCTGCTGAAGCGGTCTCAGAATTTGTAGCTCCTGTTTCAGGGGGCCCAGCCTCCACTGGCACAATCTTGGTAGCACCTGAGATTGATGCAAAAGGCATTGCTTATTGAGAGGCATCGAAAGTGAGCCATGACCCCATCGCAACAGAGGGGATGGTGCTGGGAAGTACATGTCTATACTGTCTGATGCCCACGCAAGATAGTTTTCACTCAGCTCACACATTTAAGTTCTTTGGGGAGGGGGGTAAGAGAGTGTGTGCATGTTTTTGAGAAAGTAAGGACAAGTTTTTCAATAATCTGTCTAAAAGTCCTCTTGAGATACATTTTCACTTGATCTACTTATGTTAAAAAGTATACATATACACACATACATACATACATACATACACATATATATGTTACTTGCAAGGTTTTATATAGGATCACCTATGTCAAACCGCATTAAAGAAAAAGATCCAATTTACCCCTTGTTTCTGGAATTGCAAAGGAATTATTTATACTTTTCACCCTTGCTTAAAGAAATATCAAAATACTACCACTAATTTTTAGAAAAATTCTAGAAACTATCTCTAGCAACAATTGAAAATCGGAAATTGTCTTCTGGGTTTCTTATTTTCCAGAATAATACTGTTCTGAAGTGAGCAGGGCTGACAAAGTGACTTTCCAGAAAGTTCTTCTAGTCACACGATTTTATATGGTCTGTTCTCTACTGATCACCTTGGTCTGCAGTGATGTATAGAAGGAGAATTTGTTCAGAGTTTTCATTTTAAATAATGAGTTACTCTTAGCATTGAAAATAGGCACTTAAAAGGCTGTAGCTGTCCTTAAAATCCCAAACTTAATTTTTAAATTTTATTTGACAGCAGTCACCTCAAACACATAGGGAAAAAATTATTATACTTTGAAACACAATTATAAACTGCTTTTTTTTTTATTAAGGGTACCATCCTAGAGGAGATCTTTTTAAAAAATATAGTGCAACATATCCACCAGTTATTTCATGTAAAAGAATACAGAGATGGAAATTTTTAGTATTATAATATATTTGGTGAACCCCTTCTAAAAATACAAAAAAAAGATCAGAGGCACCCCAGGATACCACCTTAGGACATTTCCCACTGTCTTGATCTTAAAAGAAAAGAAAAATGAGAATAGAACTCTAACCTTTGAGAGATGGAAATAGTGGGTGTCTATGTCAGTTTACGTCGTTTCTATGTGTAGAGAGGAAAAAAATACAAAACAGAAGGTGGGCAGAGTTAGCACGGGTTCTGGAGCAGCAGCCTGCATGCGTCTGGCTGAATGGGCTGGCCTCACATGCAGGACAGCATGGCTGAGAGCAGGAGCGGAAGGCACACACCCAGCAGAAGAGCTGGGTGAGGGGAGGAAGAAAACAAACTGCTCCCGGAACCACTACTCCAGCAGGAGCAGCACGGCGGGGCTGTGGGACCGCAGCAGGAGCAGCAGCCCTCACAGTAGCCCTCATAGCTTCTCCTCTATCCATTAACCACAACACCTGGGCAGTAAGCTCATCCTCTCGAATTAGTGGGTGACTAAATGGAGAGCCCCACCAATGCACCAGCTCTGTGTTCTGACTCAGACTGTGACATCAGGCTACCCTTAGCACAGGCTTGCCAAGGGTCTTGCCTTGTCGTTTCCCGCTTGGTGCAGTCACCTGGAATTGCTTCGTGTGCAGTTAAAACCACACTTATGATGGGTTTCTTCGCCCCAGAAAGCTGTCCGGCATCCTTTCCTGAGATCTTCTGGACTTTCTCTGTTTTCTGTGACCGTGGTCTTTTCGAGGCTTTTTCCCGATCATCTTCCTTACACTTCTTTTCTAGTTCAAGGTCAGACTCGTTACCTAAGGAGCAAATACCAAGATGCATAAGGTATCCTTTTATATCAGTGGCAGAGTTGGAGGGTAAAATTACTCTTTCACGGGACAGTAAAGGAAACACAGCTCTTTGGTCTGCAGTGCCATGCAGACCAAGGAATCACTGTAGGGACCACGGTGGCTCTTCACTCCTTCACTCGATTGAGTACATGTTCACTGCTCCCTGCCACAGGCCATCACCTAGGCCCTGGGCACACACTGTTGGGTGAAGCAGACATAGTTTCTTGTCTTGTCTTGTCTTCATGAGGCTTAGCAGACTTCAGAATCATTAATAAACAACACTGCAGAGAAGATAAGGTCTCCAAGATTTATATTCTAAGAAATAAATCATTCACGTGTTCAACTTACACTTATCAGCTACTGTATGGGTGCCAGGCATGGTGGACAAAAAGAATGATAAGGTGCAGACCCTGCTCTCGAGGGCCCCACAGTGCAGGGGGAGAGGCAGACATGCAAACAGCACAGGCAATCCAGGGCAGTCTGCTGCGCACCAAGTGAAATGAACAAGGGTCTGAGATGGTTACAGGAAAGGATGGTAGATTCCCCTCTTTGTGGAGAGGTAAGCCCTAGGTTCACATAAAAAGCAAGCATGTGCAAAGCAATGGTTAGGGAATACAGGCAAGGGGTATGGGGCAAAGGAGTGGGTGTGGTGGAAATGGTGCGTTCCAATCTAGGGACAGATGGCAGAGCCAAAGTATAAACCAGTGCCCAAGTATCCTGTGTGGTGACAACTCCATAAGGAAGCAGGGAGATAGAAATAAAACCAGGGGAGGGCGTCAGAGCTGGGCCCAAGAGGGCCTTGAATGGCCATGAGAAGCCTGGAACCTTCCTTTGGGGAACCGGGGGTGAAACATCAACATGCATGGAGACCAGTCAGGCCTGGGGAAGGGGAGAAACTGGAAGGAAAGGAGGCTCAAGTTTCCCACAGAGGAACAGCCTGCTGGGTGGGGAGACAGAGCCACGTCTTCTGATGGCTCACAGTGAGACTGGAAATCCAGATTTACATGAAATCTTCTGATTTTTCAAGGCTGACTCTGGTCTAAAATTTCTTAAAACAATGGAAGAGAGAAGGGAAACAATGCCTGGGGCCTACCTGCTGCCTCTGGAAGGCCATGGAGAGCCACAGGTGTCCAAGCCAGGAAGGGCTGGATTATATTTGTGCTGCTGCTACAGACAGCAAAGTCAATGGGTTCAAAAAATGTTGAAATACACTGAAGAGGGAACGTGTCAACCACAGAAAGAACAACAGCTAATTCCACATGGCTACCCTTGGCATTAGCCTGAGGGGTAAGAAAAGCTTCGCTATCCAAGTGAAGAACAAAGAAGCCATCTCTTGAATGCACACTATTTGAGATTCCTAAGCAAGGAGGAAATATAGGGAAGGGAGGAAAAGGAGTTTTCTCTTTCTTAGAAATAGAGCCACAAAACCTGAAATAACCTGCCCAAAATTCACTTCCTCAGAACATATGACAAATGCACAGGGAACAATTCCACATAAGCCTTTCTCAGCCATTAGCATGGAAGCAGATGAAGGGAGGCAGGGTGCGCAAGCGCAACGTGGGGGTCCAGAAGGTGCTGTAAGGTTGGCTTATAGGGAGGTGACATGGGAACCACGCAGCAATACGGCAGAAACAGGAGAAACCAAAGGGAGACAGCCAGAGGCCATTCGGTCCGTCTGTTTCCAGTGATTCAACTCTGCCTAAAGCCAGTTCCCCAAGTAAATGTACCAAGGAATGCCTGAAGGGAAAAGATAAAATGGAGTAGTATTCTGTCTTAGGGAGGCAGGCTGGTTAAACGAAAGCTCACTCAGGAAGAAGGAAGAAAAAACTTGGCTAATGGCAGATTGGTCAAAACAAACATTCTAATTTTCTATGTTCTATGAAGTTTTTTTTTTGGTGTTTGTCCCATAATCCAGGTGCTTGGACCATTTTTAGACCTAGTGAAACAGTTTTATAGAAGTTCTTTCATTCACTGGAAAAGGTCCTTAATCATATAACTAGTATCAGCACTAAATATGGTAACATGGAGCTAAAAAGAATGAATAGATGAGATCATGAATCAGACACAACTGCATCACTCTCCACGGCTAAAGGGAAAAAGTCAAGACCATCAGACAAGTCCCTCCAGTGAAGAGCAGGGTGACCCCTATAAAGCCGGAGAATGAGGAAAACAAGTAATCTCAAAGTCACTGGCAGCGCCTACATTTTGTAGGCTTGATTTGCATCACGCCTAACAGCAGTTTTTGTTTTATTTTGCTTTTTAGTGCCTATAATAAAAACATTTCAAAAGGTCTGCAAACTGCCTGAGTCACAGAAGTTCTTTGTGTGGCCTACATACTGGGTGATACACACGTATAAATAACTATAGCAGAATATATTGGACGCTATAAAAAGGTAGAAACAACATATTACAGAATTTTTTGCTTTTAAAATGATGCTTTGCTTTCTACCAGAATTCACCATGGCATACAATTCAATATGTGGGTGATATGCTAGGAATAGATTTGTTCATGTTAAAAAAAAAAAAAGATCTGAGAATTACAGCTTGCCAGAAGCTAAACCCAGGTTAACAGCATGAATCAACAAAAACCAAATGACATTCACCTACACCAATAAGAAGCAGCTGAAGAGATCACTACACTGCACTGGATAAACTGCGTCTGCATAAACGGCGTCTGGCCTAACTGCGTCTGGACTCTGCTTTAGGCATCGTATGTTAGGAACGCACTGCAGAACTGGGTGGCTGGACGTGGGTGAAGGTCTGGCACCATGCCGTTTTAAAAGCCAATGGAGACCTGAGCTGGCCTTGGTGAAAACGAAAAGACTACACAAGAATCTCATCTGTCCCCTCACCATTCCTATAGCTCCAATGTGAGTTTCCTTCCCCATGGCTGCTTTGGGATGTGCATCGTTGGTATCCACCCTATCTGTTCCCAACACCTGTCCCTCCTGGAGCGCGATGCCATCTCCCACTCCAGGAACTCGGAATGCTGCTCCACCTAAACAGCTAGGGCCACAGGACCCAAGCCTGGCCAATGGGGTGTGAGGAGAAGGGTCCAGGGACTTTCAGGAGTGGGTTTTCCTTCCTCATGAGGAAAATACCTCCTCTCTTCCTCAGCTGGGTATTGCTACGTCCACTGCCAGAACTGAGGCAACTACCCAGCAGCTACGCAAGGCCAAGTGAAAGACCATGATAATGCCTCAGGCATACAGAGAGAAAGGTGAATCCTGGGGCTTTCATGGCACAGAGGTGTCCCTGAACCAGCCCTGGAACCGCTGTGCCTGGACTTCTTGTTACATGAGAGAACATTCTCATTACTAAACTCGTTTTTAACCAGTGCCTCTGCTAACAGTATCTTGACTGACACACTCTTGGAACCATCCTCCTCCACCTAGACCCTAGAGTGAACTGTTTTAAACATCCAAATCTAATTCTGTCACATGCCTGCTTAAAACCCTTCATCAGGCTTCCTTCCCATTTCCTTTAGGAGAAAGTGCTAGGTAAAGTCCTCCAAGAATTGCCACAAATCCTCTCCCACTATCCCTGCACCATCAAGGCCATGACCTGCAAGCACACACCCTCACGTACTTATCTCCTACCCCTCTGGGCTCCAACAATGCTGAACCATAAGTTAACTGACACCCAGTGCTGTTTATAGCCCCTGGACCGTGGCACACAGCCATGCATGGCACAATGTCCTGATCCATACACCCCTGCTTGTCTGAGTGACAAGCCAAAAGGCAGCTCAGATTTCCCCTCCTCTGTGATACTCTGTACCCTTCATCTTCTTACTTCCTCCATTCTCTTTACACACACACAGAGCACCGAACCAATGGTTGGACTTTCCACACTGCTTGCAATTATCTGTTGACATGCCTTATCCATATTGTGACCTCTTGGAGGTTGGGTCCACTTCTTCTTGCGATTTTATGAAGCCTAACATAGGCCTCCAGAGGGCTGGAGCCAGACAGTGAAGAAGACCTGCTCTGTTGTGTTCAAAGGATGAAGCTAGGACCAATGGGTAGAGTCCCCAGTGACAGATCTCAGAGCAGAGAAAGGAACTTCCAACAGTTAGAGCTATCCAAGGAAAGGGTGTTTTTCAGACACGTTTCTGAGGAGAGTTTTCCAGGAAGTCACAAATACCATTGGAAATGCTGTGGAAAAGACTCTGAACCAAACGACGTGTAAATCTCTAAATTCTAAGGCCCTCACATACAAATAGGTGGAATTGTTACATAAGGAAGAAGGTAGGAGAAAGGAAGTTGCAGGGAGAAAAGAAGGAGAAAGAGTGAAAAATATGAGAGATAGTAAAAGAAAAACCTGGAAGAGATAAAAGAGAAGGGAATAGAACACCACTCACTTTCAACCCACTGGGCCGCACCAACCTCGAGTCCGCACTGAGTGCAGGCTCTGGTCCTCCCCTAGGCAAGGGACAGTGGGGCTCTTCTTGTATCCCATGGCCCAAACGTGACCAGTGCTCTGGACACTGTCTAGGCAGACAATTCTGGGAGTCACCATGGCAGCACCTTTTTTTTTTTTGAAGCAGAGTCTCACTTGGTCGCCCAGGCTGAGTACAGTGGCGTGATCTCGGCTCACTGCAACCTCCACATCTTGAGTTCGAGTGACTCTCATGCCTCGGCCTCCCAAGTAGCTGGGATTACAGGTGTGCACCATCCCATCCAGCTGATTTTTACATTTTTCTAGTAGAGACGGGTTTCGCCATGTTAGCCAGACTGGTCTCAAACTCCTGACCACAAGTGATCCACCCACCTCGGCCTCCCAAAGTGCTAAGACTACATGTGTGAGCTACTGTGCCTGGCCCATGGCAACATCTTGAGAGTCAAATCCCCACTACCTATAGCAGGGACCCCACTAACAAGCCCTTGGCATTGCTCCTTCCCTGTCTCACTCTTCTCACTCCCCCAACTCCTGCTTCCTGGAACTACCCCTCAGCTAAACCACCTATA